TTCCTTCTTAAACAGGAGAACAAAACTATATGAGTGGACATTTCTACACTACCACTGTTTTTCTTCTCCAGTTTTCCCAAAGCAGTTCAACCTGTGATCATCTTAATTTCTGATGTCTTCAAACTCTGAAAGCACATAATGAATACCTTGAGTCAATCAGAGTTCATCTCTAGGAAATCAAAAGGAGGGTACAAAAACATGAATAGTTCTACTTCCTGAGCTATCATCGGTCCTGGACCAACAAACATGTTTTCATCCCTACTCCATGCAAAAGGGGAGTTAAATTAATAGCGCCTGTATTTTCAGTCCATGTTCTGTACATTGGATTGTTTGCAAATAAATTCTGAGTTGTTGCCATTAAGGAAAAATTCCTAGCTGCAAAGATACCATTCCTCTGTTGCACTGAAGAGCTTCCTGCAAGTTGTCATGATGAAACTGCAGTGTGTCAGTATTCCTGCCACCAGAGCTTTCTCCATTATTTCTAAGCTTAATTGCAAGTTACTTGGGCAGCTTGGATGGGGGGTGGGGATTAATTGTTTGGAATGCTTACAGAGAAGTGCTAGGAGCAGAATACAGAAGCTGTACAAGGCAGGAAAGAGTAACGATGACTGCTTTGAGAAGTGGTTAGGAAAGGCTTCCCAGCAACAGAAAAATAGTCCACCTATAGAATTAAAGCATTACAAATGGAAATTGTAGCTGTAGTTGAGCCAGCAACACAGATGACTGTGTGGGATTGTTCAGGCACAGAGCTGATTTTCAGAATGGTGCAAAGACACCATGTAAATCAACTGTACCCATATACATACACTGTTCTATGTAGATCTGTAGGAAGAAGACAAGGCAGATATGAACTGACATGCTGATCTAATGAAGAGGTGCGCAACATCTGTTGGTTTGAGAGATCCCAAGATGCTTTGCATGGCATGTTGAAGGCTATGCTTCAAAAGTGAGTGTTCCTTAACCCCTACAAGTCCTACAAAATGCAAAAAACATACAACATTTTCAGCCTTACTCATTCTGGTGGTCCACAGAGGGAATGCTGATAGACTACATGTTTGTATTACTGATCCAGGGCAACATTTTGTTTCCAGCAAATGGTTCAACTCCAATATATATTATGGCAAACATATCAGGGTATGTTAAAATAGCTAGGCTGCTGTGTCTCCATCATACTTATCAATCAGAAGTGCATTGATTCTAATCATGGAGGCTCCGTTGACTTTGACATGAGTGGCACTGACAGACCAGTCTCCTGGAAAATTAGTCTGATTCTTTTTAAATACAGAATGAGGCCTTTATACATACCATTGTGTCAGTTATTTTGTCAAAAGAGACAGTGCACATGTGAAATAGTTTGCATATGAATATTATTGTTCTAATTCTCAAATATCTTCATTTTCTCAGGGGAGTACAAAGAGAGTGGAGAAAATAGAAAGACAAGGGTGTTAGCTGACCAATATATTTAAATGTCATAGCAATAATTGAGCTGCCCAGAAATCATCTGTACTAGCAGTTTTCCTGCCTTGCCAGCAAGATTCCTTTTGTGCTTACTGTTAAAAAGTATTAATAAGGGTTTGCTTACTGTAATGAACCAAATAGATACTTGGATCAAATACAGTCTTAGCAGAAAAAGCAAGCATTTAATTCTTGCAGCATTTATGAAAGCACAGAACTGTCAACCTGAGTTGTCTCTCAAACGTTTATCCAGCTCTATCCCTTTCAGCAAAAATTATCACAACCAAAGATACCTAAAAGTTTAGGCTATAGAACACAAGAAACAGTTACATGTGTGTGAACTTCGTGGTCTGATAGTAATGTATTAATTTTGTATAAGAGTTGTTAGGTACTGTAGAAAAAAGGGAGTTCAGAACTGAAACAAAAATCAATTCAGTTTGGGGGCTGGACTTTGAAAATTACAATTCTCTATGTACTTTTTAGGGAATGTCCTGCAGAACGTAGTGGAATTACTTTTGAGGGAACATGCATAAGTTCAGGTTGTGAGTTCTTTAATCATGCAATCTTTACTCCCTTCTTTTCTCTCTCTCTCTAATAAAGTAATAGCTTAGAGAGAGGCACGTGGCTGATACATGTCAAAAATCCCAACAGATCCAGCTAAGATTGGAAAGACTCCAGCCTGACGTTCTAGACTGCTGCTGATGGTCTGTGCAGATAATGAACTACGTAGACCAATATAACTAGGCAGACTCAATATAAAAACAGCTTTCTGAGTGCTGTGACCCCATTTCTCAGGCAAGGATATTGTGCAAAGCTCACCCTACACCAATTGTATGTGAAACTTTAAAATCCAGGCAAATGTGATTAAGTTACTTTTGGTTCTTATTCTCATTGCAGATTGCCTCAATCTAACTGTCTCTGAGTGTCTTCTTTCATTAAAACAGGGACACGATTAAAGGAGTTGAGGGTTGGTTCAATTTTACAGCATTCACTTGCTTTGTCTGTGTGTAGTTATGTGTGAAGCATTTGTGTACTCTGTTGTGTGTAAAAAGTATGCCGTACTTCTATGGCTAAATTGTTGGCCATATTTATATTGTATAAATATAACATCTATATTGTTTTCACACAGGGTAGGGCATTTCATGTGTTTTGAACTGGTTGACTACTCCTGGTTTATACTCTCCCCCTCATGTCCATCTATACAAAGCTGTTCTAATAACCTGGAGTCTTAGAATCTCAGATGCTAAGCCAGGGCTTTGATTGCCAAGGACTGCAAATTCAGATTGTGGGGGGATGACCTGATAGGCCTGTTTCCTTCCTAATTCCCCTCAGTGGGGAAGATTTGCCCTTCATTAGCCGTGTGAGATTTTATAAGCAATATTAGATTTGCATAGATTTCCTCTTTCACAGAGAGGCTCCAGTCTGCTTATGGCAACTTCACATATAGCTGTCCACCACTTAGATTGTGCTTTGTGTGAGAGAAACGACCATTAGAGATTAAATACTTGTCATTAGATTTAAGATGCTTTTTAACTGAGGCACTTCACAATGCCAGCTGCAAGCCAGGTGATTAGTCATTGAGTGATGCAATGTTGACATGCATATGTGAATCAGCTGGAGCTCTTTCTGATCATGACTGGCTATAATAAAAACCACAGAGGATACTGTGCAATAGTAATATGAAACCCCAGATATCAGCAGGCTTCAGTCCCCCTTAAACTGGCTTTGCTATTTTTTTTCCAGACCTCAAGCCTACCAGCAGCAGTTTGGCAGGATGAAATTCAACCAATAAACTTTTCCCCAACAAGGGGCTGCAGTCCTGGGGAGAGCAGCATTTGTTCAGCCTCTTGAGGCATATCCTTCCATCAGGAAAAACTTATGTTCAGAGCACTGCCTTCTCATAACAGATAATGCTATAATATCAGCAATGGAAGGGAGAGGAGTTATCTATTAATGGATTCCCTTTGACTTCAAAGGAAAGGCTGGCCTGCCAATTAAAGCTATGAATTAAAAATCCAGTGATTTAATTATCAGCTGGACTTTCTGAAACTTAGGCATACCACTCCATTTATCTATATTCATTTTTTAACTTGTAAAATGAGAATAATCTGCACAATAAATTCTCCTTGTCCAAGCAGTGAATATGTATCTCTTATAGTTTGGTTTACAGTTTCTCCAAAAGGAAAGGGCATTTTCAGGGACTAATTGTGTTCATTCCACCTAAGAAATTGCCCACAATTAGCCTTTCTGCACCTGGGGTTCCTTAAATGGGTTAGTCTGCATAGAGCTCTCATAACCTGGGGTCAACATGGCCATTTAACCGTGCTGTCTGAAGATGATGGAAATGTTACATGTCAGGAAGGAGCCAGATTGTTGAAGGTTACCTTACACATTGTTGGCAAGTTGTGTCTCCAAAGGAAATTGTAGCAGAACTAGAGTTCTAAATCCTTTATGAAGGCAATACTCTTTCCAATGAGGAGGAGTAACAGGGAAATTTCATCTGCTTTCAGTGCCAGGACAGTGACATTTCTTCACTTTTCATGGCACTCCATTTAGAGATTACTTTTTCCTGGAGGTGCCCGTGCAATGGCTTTTGGCTAAAAGACTACAACTGAAGATGTACCATTACAGATGAAGGTTTGGGTATCTGGTATTAATATAAACATTAGGTGCAACCTTCTCAATAATGTTAAATGGCCAAAGGCTGTGTTACAGGTCTATTTGCTGTTCTTAACCTCGTTGATATAGAAATGCTTTGAAATGGAGTGAAACAGTTATCCCTTCCTTTCTTTATTAAGCAAAAGATTTCTGCCTCAAGAGGCATACATTCCTACTATATCATCTGATTTAATTTCCAATCTCCTAAAGTTTTATTAAAATAATGCTAAAGTAAATAGTCACTCTGCAGATCTAGTGTGTTAGCCAGAAGCAGATGTGTTCCAGAACAGTATTTGTACAGTCCAAAATGTGGGGTGGGGATCACCTTTCTCTTTGTGAATAGATGCTACCCTGTAATGATTTGATGATCCTTTTTTTAGGAGGTGGTAATGTGGTATGATAGAAATTTCTTAGATATTAGCTACCTAGAGCTAGTAATGCGAATGCTCTGTGTGTAGTTGGTCAGATATGGTGCTCTTAGTTTCCACTGAGCTTTTGTCTTCTTCTTCTGACTCAGCCAAGCCACTATATGTGCCCTCTGGGCATTTTCTCCAGCCTTTAGAAGGCCAAATGAATCATCACTACTCTTCTCTTTGAAGCACCTTTGGAACCTCCAGCAGAAATCTCACATTTTTCTCCTTTCATGTAGCTATAAATTAGTTTATTTTAAAACCTTTCAAGTCCCAGTAGTCAATGGGAAGCAAAAAGTATTTAATAGTGCTGTCAGTGCCAGATCTAAAATCCAAAGAACTGGAAAACTGGAAAGGCAAACTTTGGTCATGAGACAGAGACAAACTTAAAAGGAGGATTGGTTGGATTTTATTTTATTTTATTGCCTGTTTGGAATCTCTTACTGCAAAAGAATCTGAAAATCCTTGTTTTTGCAGGACTGTTGAATCCTCAGTGACTGTCACTAGAAGCTGGGATTGGCTCAAGCAATTTTCCTGTTAAAAATGTATACGAGGAGAATGTAAGCTAGAAGGACCTATCTGTTTGCTGTAATCCTGCTTGCTATGTATTCAGTGTATAAAAATGTATCTGAGACATCCAGGGTTACTCCATACTGTCAATGTCAAGATGGGCTCTCAACCAGTACAAGCATTTGTACTGTTTCACAATCAGCCTTCCCCCTTTTACTGTGTTGACCAACTTGTTGGCCAACATTGCTGCTATTTCACTGTAGAAATGTGAATGGTTCTTGACTTCATTACAGATGGACATTGCTAATCTTAGATACCTTCTGGCAGACTCCTGCAGATGCTTCAGTATGTAAGTGCCAACTTAGCATTGTCTGCAGATAGTATTTTGTTTTAGACTCTACTGTATGTACTCCTGGCTTCTTCAATAGAAAATTCCCTTTCTGTATATGAAATTCATGGAACTATTTGGGAATTTGAAGCCACAAGATGTTGCAAGGCGAAAGTAGCTTGTGGATGTATTTAATGAAAAAGAAGAAGAACCATTAGACTGTTTTTCCCCCCAGTGCTGTTACTGCATCCCAGACAGTATTTAGTACTATTATCTTCTGTGTTGTACACATGCCTCTTCTTGTCAAACTATACAATAGTCTTAATAAAAATATCTGGGAACTGAGATACAACTTCGGGTATTCTGCTGTTGCCTTTTTAAAAATAACTTGGCTAATGGAAAGTTTGACCAACCACCAAGCTAGTATAAGGTTTCACTGGACTGCCATGACAGTGATATGGACCTTGATTATCTGCTCAAGACCCTTGCATTCATGTCATAGCCTCTCACACTCTCCAGCACAGTCCCTTGGGAATCAGGTCTCAGAAACTGGACTAGTCTACATAGTCCTTTTGGCACAGAAACAGGACACTGATCTCATTGCCATGTACTTTCCATATTAACTGCTTGACAGTCCCTCTAACTGAAAGCATTTGTACATCACTATATGTTAGCTCTTTCTGAAATAGCCAGCAGAAGTTATATCTTCAGCCAAGTTTCTCAAAAATGAGACCCTCAATGTGAGCAACTCCAGTGAGATTAAAGCTGCCATAAGTCATCCAGGAGACAACTGTCCCTTTCCCACTCCATAATGCAGAGTATTTCCCTGTGTGATTTCCATCCAGCATAGCCATTGCATTAAGTGGCTGTGCCAGAAGGTAAGAGATTCCTGTTTTGTGCACAGTTTTGTATATCTCACACTTCCCCAAATAAAGATTTTCAAAATGCCATGTGTACATTCATCCTTCCTGTAGAATACTCAGCCTCACGTCCTGGATGAAAGTGAGCCCTGTCAATTACTCTCCTCCCTTAGGAAGAAGGTAAGAGATTCCTGTTTTGTGCACAGTTTTGTATATCTCACACTTCCCCAAATAAAGATTTTCAAAATGCCATGTGTACATTCATCCTTCCTGTAGAATACTCAGCCTCACGTCCTGGATGAAAGTGAGCCCTGTCAATTACTCTCCTCCCTTAGGAATGAAATTGTCTGTATCTTAGGGATAATTTCCAACAGCATGATAAATCTCTGAACAAGATCTCCCCATTTAAAAAAAAATGTTAACCATAGTTGCA